GGGGGGGGCGGCTTGTTTTACAACGTCGTTGCCAAGCGACGAAAACCCAACCCCGATGGTAAACACCGGGGGGGGGTGGGGAACAGTGTGTACCCAGAGGGTACGCGCGTGAACGTATTCTGCCGGACAGCGGACTTTGGGGGGAATGGGGGGTGGAAGGCAATGCAGGGGAAAGGCAGCTTCGCGGTATCGTTATCAGAGTATCAATTATCAGGGCGTGGATGCGGGCCGGTTGTAAGTTGGTAAGCTGGGCTTGAGAGCATCCGCAGTCTTCGGTGTTGTTCGGAGGAGACCCCTGCGATACAATATTGTACATAGCTCGGCAGCCTTCCCCCGGTACACAATCCTTATCCTTTCTTATTCAGACGGGAACCTCGCCGACTGACTATCATAGTCAGCGTTTCCAAAGCCAACGTTGTTCACAACATCATGTATCTGTCTACCAGGTATTCAAACGAGAAAGCTTCGGTTGTGGTGGCATGGTTTATCTCTACACACACAAGACAAGGCTTCGGTTGTGTGATGTTTTTGTAGGGAACTTGGAGGCCCCGTACGAGCTCAGCGCGGAGAACCGGTTCAACGACGTCGACAGCCCGTTCGAGGAGGGGGTTAGGCTGTTCGATGAGGGTCAGATAGCGGACGCGGCGCTGTGCTTCGAGGCAGAGATCGCGAGGAATCCCGACAACTCACAGGCAGGTGTCCTTCGTTCTTGACATTGTTTTTGGTTCTTGTGCTTCCTTGTGTGTATATATGCGTTCGAGTGTGTTTCGTATTTGTCGTCTGGGTACTGCTGTTTTGTGTCGAATTGGTCGTGGGTACAGCCGGAAAAATTGTCCTTGTGCGGAGACAACAAAAGCACCCAACTGGCCTCCACCATGCGTGCTCTACAACTCGAACCATGTTGTTGGCTTTCGTGTGCGGGATCGCGAGGCAGGCGCGGGGGGTGGTGCATACCGAGGCATATTTCAGCCGAGCACAGAGAACAAACCATCAAATTTGTCGATGGAATAAAACGTATTTTTCTTTGCGGCGCACGGCAGCACTCTGTGCCACAACTACGTTCGGCGAATGCGTTCGTTGCATGCTTGAGACTGTCTCCTTTGCCTGGCTGGAAATCACTCGGATGTCGATTCGTTCTCTTGCCGTTACTGCTGCTGCCATTGATGCTGTTGCTGCTGATGTTGCTGCTGCTATGTTGCTGCTACTCCTACTGTTGCTGTGTTTCCTTTCTTCACCCCATGTTCCGCATCGTTTTTTCCATGGTACAAACCCGTCGCCTGTTTTTGCGCTTCTTTGGTGGTTTGTCGTTTGGTGCTGTTACTATTCCGCACTCGCGTTTTGTTTCGTGCAGGCGTGGTTCATGCTGGGGCAGAGCCATGCGGAGAATGACCAAGACCGATTAGCCATCTCGTGCCTTGAAAAGGCGGTGGAGATCGACCCGTACAGCCTAGATGCCTTGCTGGTGAGCGTCCCTTTAACTCTGTCGCACGGGTTTTGCCTGTGAGCTTCCCGAACATGAACTACGCATGTGTTTCGTGCATTGTTGTTCATATATCCCCGTTTTGTTGTCGTCCTTTTCCGTAGTGGTGTGCACACCCGAACGTGCACTACACACGTGCATGGTGCTTGCAATTGTCATGCATATTTCTCCATTTTCATATCATCCTTCGCCGTTTTGTTGTGCACAGACCCCCGTTCAGTGTGATCATTTCTTCTTTGCTCATTCATCAGGCCGCCCGTCTTGTCGGCTGAATCAAGTATTCGCGGAGATTCTTGAGCTTGTCTTTGTGGCGATATATCCAGGGAGATCATTCCTGCAAACTCTTTGGTACCCAGCATAAATCCTCCATGGTTCACTGCACGTCCCACCGTATCCCATCTACGTGCCCCCCGCGATGTTTACTTCGTATCATTTCGGTTTTGTCCGGCCCCACGTACATCTCCCACGATCCTCGCACGATCCTGCTGAATGCATTTTATTTAGCACAGAACATGTTGTTTGTGTCGCCAAGCCGCCCACGTGCCGTCCAATCCAATCCCATCCCATCCCATCCCATCCCACTCGATTCCCTCCCTAAACAGGCGCTCGGGACGAGTTACGTGAACGAGCTGGACTCTCAGAGAGCGTTGACGAATCTCAAGGCATGGGTCGAGCACAACCCAAAGTACTCGGGCCTCGAGATAGCGGTGGACGAGTATAGCGACGGCACTCTGATGGACGAGGTATGTGTGCACGTGGCGTACGCACATGGCACATGATTCACAAGGCTACCAGCGCCATCATCGTATCTCTCCCATCACCATCATGCGGCATCGATGAAAGGAGATTGGATAATTTTTTGCTTGGCTTCGTGCTGTTGCGACAGTTGCTGTGCAGCATGCCATACGGGGGATGCAAGTATTGTGCGCGTGCGTGCGTACCCGCGGACGTGCGTATTGTAAGGGCATAAGTTTGCTTGTTGTTTCTTGCGCATATATATTTATATATGCCAGCCGCGACACCCTTCCTTACCCCCCTTCCAGATCTCCCTTTCGCGTGTGGGGCATCCACCCCCCACCCCGCGTCCCTCGAACCAACGGGACCCCTTTTTTGTGTACCGTGGTACCTCTTTCGTCATGCCATTCCCTGATTAGGCGATGCAGTTGACGATGCACCGTATTACCTTTCGCTTGTCATATCATTCCCCATTTACATAGGTGATGCAGTTGATGCTGCAGGCACAAAGGTGGGACGCGACGGACGCGGACGCTCACGTGGTTCTGGGGGTGCTTTACAACGTGTCTCGCGACTACGACAGCGCCGCGGAGGCGTTCCGAAGAGCCATCGAGGCCAGGCCGAACGACCACTCGCTATGGAACAAGGTGATGGTTTGGCTCCTTGTTGTATCTACACATGTGTTGTATCTACACATGTTGCAATGTCTTTGGTCAAGTCTTGTGTGTGCTGCGGCCTGATATTGTATCTACGTGGTATGTATGCCTTTCTGCCACACTGTTTCCTGGAACGAACGGAATCTTGGGGGGGGGGGG